ATTTTTATATATATATATATATGTGCCTCTTACAGTAAGACAAGTATCTGCATTTTTACAGATTTTAGTCTGCATGGAAATTTCAAAGTGAAACAAAAAGGGAAGAATTAATACAAGTCATTAGAAAGGAATGGCGTTTCTAGCACTGAACTTACTAAAGAAGTCCCAACTCTGGCTCAGTTCCCCGAGGGCAGGCAGCAGTCAGAGGAGACGCAGAGACCATTTGGCTGCCTCGCGTTACAAAGCGGGTCACTGTCCTACAACCCATATCCAAAACCACCCAGCGGAAGGAGCAGCGCTGGCTGCGTGGGCCCAGCTGGGACCCCCGAAAGGCAGGGACCGCTGCACGTGAGCTGCAGCCCGGGCGGAGGCACAGGCAGGGGCAGGGGACGGATGCCTGAGGGATGGGTGACCAAAGTCACTGCCGCTGGGAGCCTCCGAGACCCCTCCGTTTGTGCCCTCCTGCTGTAACGCATCACATTCTCCCTCTGCCCACAACAGCTTCGCTCGTTACTTTATGTCTGATTGAACGGTCACCTCTGTGTCAAATAAACAGAAAGAAACCTCTTTATTTAGAACAAAACATTATAATTGTTTAGAAAGACAACTTAGCAGAAAATACAATATATTCCTAATCAACAGTCAGTGACTGGCTGTTAGTTTTGGCTAGGCCAGAATGCTTAGACAGTTCTCACTTCATTCACACAGGGGAAGTTATTTTCACTTTATCACTCACGCTTTTCTTTCAGGTTTTAAAACAAAGCCGCAAACACTTCTCTGCTTTTAATTATTTTGCAATACAGCTTCCTTAAAATAATCTCTAGTTTCGTGAGAATGCGACAAAACGCTAGCAGCCAAACCTATTTGATACTGCCCGCAGACGAACCAAAAATTCTGCTTAAGTAGGGCCCGTGTTTTGTTTTATGCTTGGGTTTAGGTTTTTTGGGTTTTTTTAGTATTGTCCTAAAGTGCCAGCACCGTTATGACTTGTCTCTCTCGAGACAGGCTTTCTCAAACAGTTGCCCCACTCCCATCCACCAACTCGTTTGCTGTGGACAACTTCCAGGTCTCCCTTTCACCAGGTTACAAAGGCGGGCAAGCCCAGTGCCAGCAGGGCGCCGGCCTCTCGGAGCCGGGTACGCACGACTGCGAGAACCCCCTGGGGACCTCGGGCAGCCCGGCTGCACCCAGCAAGTGAAGCTACTTAAGCTGCCTTTTTGTTTCATTTCTTCTCAGTTGACATTTTTATTGGAACTCTGAAAAACCCTCACAAGTATTTCTGCGCAGATTTGGAAAGGTTTTTCCCAAGCTGATCAGTTCAAAGCCCTTTTGCAAGACTAAACTAAAAACAGAAAAAAAAAAAAATCCAACCCTCCAATGACTAAGACATGCACTCAACCTTCAAAGCAGCCAGACCTATGGCAGTGTGGAAGTGTGGTACATGTAAACACTTGAGATGGATGTGCTGCGCTGCACCAGTGGGATTTCTGTGAGAGCAGACCTGAAGAAAATGTTTATAGGAATTCAGTTTCCATGTGGGTTTTGTTGGGGTTTTTGGGGGTTTTGTTTTTGGTTTGGTGTTTTTGGTTTTTTTTTTGCAATTACAGATCATATGATACTGGACAATTAACTTCTGGTACTTTAGACAGAACATGTCCAATGACAGGGTTTGAGGAGATACTTTTCCAAAGAATACATATGCCACTACACAATTAGCTGCATTATAATTTCCCTAAATAATCATATATACCTGCTAGCAGGAAAAGCAGCACACCAATTTCTATACATGAGTGGCTTGATGCAAGATGGAAAAGTCATTCAGACAAAAGAGTGCCTTCTACGTGACGGAAACCATTACTGCTGGGACCCTAACAACAAGATACCTTTGAAGTTTGTGCCTTTGCAAAGTAACTGACCTAAAGCCAGTAACATAATTTATGGCTAGATATGCTCTGGCAAGTGTAAGTTACTATTTAACTGATCTCTGTGGGTTTTGAGTATTTTTTTTTAAATGCCTAGATTGTTTTAGAACGAGTAACTCGGTTCCTTCTGGCCCTTCCTCCAGCAATCTGCAGAAAGAGTATTTCTCCAGCAAAACAAATTATATAGAATAGTGTATCTGTGCAAAACTAATATCCAATGTTTTAAATTAAGGATCTAAGAGCTGAATCTATCCCTTCCAGCCCTGCAAAAAACCCAGAAAAACAATTTAGGTATCTAAATTTTATCTTAGTCCTTGGACTGCAAAACCAAAATTGCTATGTAAGTGGTGACTCCCCTGAGAATATCCAGATGACAACTTAGTTTTAACATCAGATTTCTTTTTGCGAATCCCCTGAAAGGCTCAATCTAACCGAAACAATTTTAAAGCGTCTGAAAAACACTAAAGGCTAAAAGCTTTTCACAAATTATTGCATTATCAAAGGAAATGGACTGGTTTTTAAAATCGTATCTCGATGATAACAGCACTTGTCCACTGCGTAGGACACCAGTTTGAGCTGTCTCTGCTGCTTCCTGAGATTCAGACCACAGTCCCTCTCACCCAAAAAGCCTGTTTTAGCCATCAGCTTCTAGGTTATTCTGGATGAGGGAGGCACACGACACTGCTTCCCGAAACAATGTCAGACCGCATGAGAGAAGGAAGGGGTTTATTAGGTGACAGGTGAAACTCAATGTAGGTCTTCTGAGCAGGGACCAGAACTATTTTGTTTACTTTAAACAGCCATTAAGTGAAATAGATAAACAATCTTTGTGGCAAGTATCAAAACAAGATCTCTATGTCCGGCAAATTCGTACTGAAGTTTATAATCCAAAACAAGTCACCAATCCCAATTCTTCACTCTGCTCATTATACTGTTATTGCAACCCCATCTTCTCCTTCATTCATTTCTTTAGACTTTAACCCCCCTCAGGGCAGCGATTATTTGCATAAATGTTCAACAATTTAGTTGGGTGCTACCGCAGTATAAATATTTACTGTTGCCGATGACTAAACAGTCCCTCTCAAAATGCAAACCTCACACACACCAACAGCTGCCTGGGGGCAGTGCCTCTCAGGCAAACCCACACAGAAAGTGGCCCACGGGTAGTAAGCGTCAGTTAACGAGCACATTAATACAAAAAGCTGCAAATACAAAAAGCTGTGAGTTGTTTGGCTGGAAGATGGCTACAAGGCTAAACTAAAAACTGTAGTGAAGACTTTCAAAGCTAAAAAAAGTGGAGAAAGTGTATAAAATTGCATCTTTTTTGTTGGGAAAATTACTGTGAGTGGATGGCTACTCTATCTATTCCATCTTCCATACTCCTGGTGGGGCCCCTCTTTGCAGAAAAGAAAGAAAATTACAAAACCTCTGTATCACTCAGGTTTTAGACATTTCCTACAAACCTTGAAGTTTTTTTTTGGATTTGTCCTGACCTTTGCACAAGAGTAAGAACATTAGGTCACTGACAATAGACCAGCGCAGCGTTTTTTACCCTTTCTTAAATACATTCTCACAGAGGTGCCACCAGCGTTGCCGACGGGCTCGGCTTTGGGCAGCGGCAGGTACGTTTTGGAGCCGGCTGAAACGCGCTCTGTCTGACACTGGGGCAGCTCCTGATCGAGTCTTAGAGAAGCCACCCCTGCAGCACGTGTGTATCCTCGTCCTGTCCTGTCCCCACTTCCAAATCCACGTAAACCCAATCCAGTGGCTCCTTAAGGAAAAGCAATTCATTCCCTCCTAGTATGCCCTCCACTGCCTCCCAGCTTCCTGAGCATCTCTGCTTGCCAGCTACTTGTGTACGGGCAAAGACGATACAGCTCGAGGGGAGAGACGCTACTGGGGAATCTCCTCTGCTGCAAATGTGGATTTTCCTAGATTCATCGAAAGAAGACAGTAATACTCTCCAGCCCTTCTGCCTAGCCAGAGAGCCAGAGCTGGTCAGCCATACAGGGAAGCTCTCTAGCGTAGCTCAGTTCCTAAGAGCTATCATTGCAGAAAAGAGAAGCAAGAATGTTTATTTTTTCAGAATTTGAAAGTCTACCAAATAAGACATAAACATTGCCAACACAGTGGTCCCCAGTTCAGAAATTCCTATTTTAACAAATTATAGCACTTACATTTGAATGTCTTAACTAGACTTCATCTAAGAAGAGCAAACTGGGGAATTATTTCCTTTGTCTTCCTTTTTAGTTTTAAGCAATAGCTACTTTAACTCTTACGAATTTATTGACACTTATCTGCAATGCATTTTCTCTGCAGGTGCATTTGAAAATTAAACTATGCATCACAGATCAATGGTAATCAACCTGATGCCATCAAGGCTGCAACCTTTCAAGGAAATTATTACAAAAATTCCTTTAATGATTACATTCAGGGTCTGTAACAAATAGAGAACCTTGAGATTGAAGTCAAAATTATCTCTATTGGTATGAAGACAAAATAGGAGGCACCACATCATGAACTACTTTCCAAACCGGCAAACCAAGTATCACTTATATTACCAAATTCCCTGCATCACACCCATCTTGGATAAAAAGTAGTTTTAAGCTCCTTCAGGTATTAGAGGCTCGCAGTGGTGAAATGCTGACGATGCCTTCCCATGAGTCCCTACCTCACTGTCGATAAAACTACTGAGGAGGAGAAGGCCCCATCTGGGCTTTGTACATCTGGGCTTCTTTTATAAATTGAAAGCCCCAGTAGAATCCAATTCCTTCCTGCTGTTGGAACTGAGCTGAGCAGAACGAAAGGGACAGCATGCTCTGAAGTATCAACTACTGCTTAAATGCGAGGCATTTCAGTTCTCAGCTAGATAGCTTGAATACTACTGCTACTATAAGCAATGCGTTTCATTGCGTCTCTCTCTATTCAGCCGTGTGCAACCTGACTGACTGAAAGCTTCTTCCTGATGTAAGTCTCAACATTTACACATTTTACAAGCTAAAAGTAAGAGCCTTCATTTGAACTGAATAGGAAAATAAAGTGAAGTGTCACAGAAATGCAAATGTGCTGGGCTTATGAATCACAAAAGCCTTGTACTTCTGACAAATCAAGCCACTTATTAAAAACAATGCTTACCAGTGTTGTAGGCAGTAGGCATGGCCGAATACACCAATCCCTGCGGAGGCAAGCTTGGAGTTGTCACAGACACCACAGGGGTAGCAAGAGGCTGTGTAGATTGAGAACTACTTATCCTTTGGGTATTCTAGAAACGATTAAAAATAACAACATGTCTTGTGATATCAGTTAGAACAATGGAAAAATCAAGTGCTAATATAAAAATAGCATTCAATTAAAATGTGTTGCTTTGCTTTATTTTTTAGTTACGAAGGCATCCTTTTTGTCAGGACAGATTTTCTAAACAAGCCAAAACATTTTGAGACAACCAAAATGATCTTGGCAAACTGAAATGAAAAACTAATTAAGACTCACTGGTCCGCTTCCCGTGCATGCAGATTTCAATAGTATTAGAGTTGCAGGACATAAAAATAAATGCAATTTCTTGGGCATATACACAACAATTCTCAGAAGTTCTTAAGTGATTTAGGAGTTTTTAGTTTTAGGGGTTTTAGTGCAGATGGTGAGGTGCAGTTCCACCAGAAAAGAGTCTCCCACTTCCCAGCTCTTTATTCCATTTTCAAAATTTTATCTGCCAGTTTTGACACTGTGCTGACTACACCTGTCCTGAAAGGAACACAGAGATCTTCTAAATTTGTGTTGATAAGACCTCAGTGATAAAATAATCTTGCTGTTCCCATGGTTCCTGAGAAACTGAGAGAGTACTTGTTATAATGCAGATACGTTTCAAAGCAAATGACATTTGAGTTCACACAGAGCAACTGTAGCTATTTGTCCTGTCAAAAAGCAAACTGGATTGTCCCACATGATCTGTTCTAACTGTAGGCATGATGCAGCTTTTTAATAACAGCCTGCCTTCCCATATACCAGAATGAACATCTGTAGCAAACATAACACTCAAATTAAGCTCATTAACCCAATTTGCTGTTTAGAAGACCCTGTATTAAACACTGTGGTGAATACCACCAGACAGCAAAGCTGCTCTGTCACAGAACGTACAAGAGTACTTCATGGAGGCAACTTTAAATTTGTCTTCAAAATATGTAGTTCAACACCATTTAGCCATGCCAGGCACTGTCAAGAACAGGAAAGGCTACATTTTTTTTTATTTTTATAAAACAGATACTTAGTTTTACCTACAGAAGTCTTAGAAATACTAGAAGTAGCAGAAGTCTCTACACCCTGTGTTTCTACATTCTTACAGAACCATTCCCAATGAAGTGAGCTGGATTTCAAACTGCTGAAAATATGTTTTTAAAGCAAGCCTCCCTCTATCTCTGAAAAAAACATTTGCTACAAAAGTAGCAGGCTTTCATCTCTTTGGTAGAGTTCCATTTCCTAGCTTTAAAAGACTGAAGCTCCTACTGCTTTTTCCTTATTTTGGACAGGTATACAAGTATTTCAGGATCTGCAGCACTTAATTTTTTTTTCCCCCACTCTGATCTTGAGGAGTGAGCAATATTAAAAATGCATGATTCCCTTCATAATAATGGAATGAGCAGGTACAGAAACATGGCTCTATTCAATTTTAAGCTTAAACTTGCGAAGATGAATCGAGGGCTATCAATCCTTGGCTTGTATCTTTCCAATTTAAAGAAAAAAGTATACCACAGCTACCATACTAAAATTAGCTACAATCTTCCACCAGCTACCAGCTGCTGATCTCTGTTTTGGCTGGCTGCTGTTGAAAGCCCACCTTTGAGCCTCGCAAGAATTTGGAGGCTCTTTGGCATTTGCTCCACAGATGTACCCACTCCGCTTCAGAGCTCCCAGATTTCAAAGCTCTAAGTCACAGAGAAAGTCCCACTGATTTTCTGTGTAATTTATCCCTTTAAATCACTTATGTACTTCTGAAAATCTCCACTAGACCAAGTTTATCTGGCGTAAAGATGTGTTATTAGAGCAGATTTTTGTGTCTGTCAGGAATTGACCTTTTTCCAAAGCTTTCTTGGATGGCAGCCTATAAAGTTGGGATTACTGTATAATGGAAAAGTTAGAGGAGTATACTGGGAAACAATCCAGACCAAAGGATTTCCCTATGGGATTTTTTTTTTTTTAATGGCTAATAAAGGTGGTTTTCTGAGGTAATTTATTTCTGAATATAATTCCTAAACACTCAGCCATACAAAGACACTAAGTAATATTTAGATGTGTCTAGTATTTGTTGTACTCGGAGATTGAGCCAAAGATTCATGAAGACTTTCAGGATTTTTTTAAATTGTTTTTTAAACTGGTGCAAATGATAGCCGTAACAGGAAGAATTCAGTATCCTTATTTCATGCTGTGCTACCGTTCCTAGCTGGTTTTCATATTCAGCGCTCAGTTCCAACCACACAGAATGAATGTTCACAGACGTGATTTGGAACTGCTTTCTAGCACCAGAATTAGCATCAGAAATTAGCATAACAAGAGACGTAATATTGCAGGTGTAGTTCATATTCCTTTACCACGTTTGAGGAAGACACTACTGCGTTTTCTTTGGGTGAGCTTTCTTCCCCTAACAGAGGAGCCCAGTTTTAAAAACCACTAGAGGGCCCACGCTCCATGCAGTATCCTTGCACCAACCCGCCTTCGTTAAGTCGCATTATTTCACGCTGCAAAAAGCATAGCAATTTTTAGCAGGTAGGCATACCTTAACTCAAGCGCTTTTGCGTAATTCCAATTGCAATGCTATTTTGATTAAGTGTTTTTACATTGAATTAAAGCTCTTATTTCTTGCACTGGAAACCAGACACTCCTCTATGAAGGTGAAAAGAACATGCATGACAGCTGTTTATAACTGCAAGTCATTCCAAAAAAACCTTAAAAACTTAAATACAGACTTTCAAAAATCATTTCCCCTTACTTTTGTAAATCTATTGCCCGTGTTTCAGGTAAAAATCAACCAACAGCATGCATTCATCAAGAAATTTATCTAAATCGCTATATTTTCCATGCTTTCATGCAATTAGAGCCTCATATTAGCAACAGGTCCATGTTCAAAACCAAATCAAAGTATGTAATAAGCAGACTTGTTTGTGTATCTTTACAATCGCACTCTGATGCAGCATCTTCTTGCATGGTTTGTGCTACAGCAGCTAAACAATTTGCAAATTGCTCTAAAAATAAGTTATGAATTACTTTAGCCTTGCGTTATTTTCCAGACAGAATGCCAAAAGTTAAAACCTTTTGGAAAAAAATAGAGAAAACGCAAATCCCAAGAGTCTCCTTTCAAAAGCAGAATATCTTTCCACTGGAAAAAGGTAGAATTATTCATTTGCAATTCTCTATTCCTTTTGGTAAACAGGGAACACCCCTGTGGTTTGATAATCTCACGCAGGATGAAATAATTCTGAACTCCAAAAAGGTGACCTCACCACCAATGATGTAATCGCCTTGCAAATAAGAGAAGTAATACAGGGCTTGTGTTACAATCTGAAGAACTTCATGAGTGAAGCCACTTTCTAAAAATATTCCAGTAATTTAGGGGATGATAAGTGGTTATTTATATTTTACATAAAAGACAGTAAATATCCTATACACATGGACAGTTACTCTGTAAGGCTCTTTTCCAATGTTCCCTCCAAGAGAAACAGAAGTATTTTCAGGAAAAAAAACTAGAAGTTTACAATGGAAAGTGCTAGACTTTGGATGTGTTTTCAACTTGAATTGGTCAGGTTTTGAGTCCGATAAAACAAATGTATTTTTGTCTGCTACCAAGGGAACACTGGAATTATTTAAAATATGTAATGAAACTACAGTTAAAAAGCTGTAGTAAAAGTAATTTTCAGTGTCTTGCTCTCTCTCATCAAACGGTAGCCCAAACTCACCAACTCCAATTCATCCTCCTCCGACTGTACTCAGCAAACAAGAGGGATAACACAGTTACTAAAAATAGCATTGCTTTCAAAAATGAAAGAAAAAGTCACGTTTGTGCTTCAGGATTTTCATTTATTTTAATTAATAATACGAATTTGCCACCTGATTCTGTAAATAATACTACTAGGAAGTATAATACTTTACGTAATTCGGGTCAATTAAAAAATAACAGTACTGAAAAACACACATGCTTTGCCAAAATTAGTGCAGAAAGAGCTTAGTGAAAACAAGGACGCAGCTACACATTGACAACATATGTAACCATGGAACACAGCAGTTTCTGGCTGGACTGATCCCATAAATATCCAAGCTCAGTAACAAAATATTTTTCACATACAACCATCATACCATCCCAGCACCTCTACTCTCACATCTCTTTCCAATTGCCTCAAAAGAGACAGACAAAACCTAAATTGAGTGTTATGTTGTTCTTAACAACACAACAGTAAATAGGTACTGAATACTACTAACATTAGAACAACTGCATTAACATGATCCTCTTCTTGTATCTATTTATAATTAATTTAAAAGTGTATTTTTCACTTTAATAATCAGCCAGTGTATTTCCTATGTCTTCTGCACTTCAGTATTCCTAGAAAAACCTAAAGCTTCAAGAATCATTACTCTGAGGATAATTACAGCTTTTGTTACTTGGATTAATTTTGTATTATTCATCATGAATACCAGTAACAAATGTAAGCACTTGTGGTATCTTAAAAACAAATAAGAATTATACAGACAGTACTTGTATTGTTTATATCCTGCTCCTCTTGGTTATGGTTCATTCTTCCATACACAGAAAACAGAAAACGTACACATAGATGTTTAAAATTCCTGCATGACAGTGAAAGACCAAGACCAAAGGATCTGGCCAACCAAATTAAAGGGAAAAATAGAGTAACTCTTCCTGAAAGACCTGTTCTGGTCTCAATGCTGTGGTTGCCTCATGCCTGACACGAAACTTGTCTGCTATTCCAAATCTAGGCTGAACAAACATTACACTACCAACATGCCAAACTGCACAGTAGCATTGAAGAGTACACAAATAGGGACTGAGCCTGATCCTCATTACTCTTTTATGCCTTCACTGAAGGCGTGACATCCACCATAGAACACACAAGGTTGCATTCCAGCACACCACATCAAACAAGCGTGTCTTCTCAGACCATCATTACCACTGAAGCTCCATTTTATATCCCACAACCATTACGATCCAGGAAAAACAGGTACAAAGTGTGCTTTAGGGGATGTTAATACAGTTCACATCACCAATAAGATGAGCCATTCCTCCACAGAATAATGCATAACCCTTTTTAAAACCCACATCCTCCAAACCAGCAAAATTCTCGGTACCAAGTCGGTGAGATGTCATATCAAAACAACAAAATCCCAATCTATGTCTCTAGGATTGCATTCTAATTGCACTTAGGTCAGACTGCTATTTTACACTTTAAAAAAAAACTCCTTACAAATTTAACTTCTCCCAAGGTAACAACTTGTAACTTAGATTTTCATTAGTGAAATTTCAGAATACAAACACATCTCAATTACTGTAACCTATAGTAAGCAGATGACATAGCTTCCCCCTGTGCATGTGAGCAGAACACTTCATTTTTACAAAGCCAGTCATAGAACAAATGTTTTAACTTACCAATGGTGGCATCATACCCTTGCTGGAGGGTGGGATGACAACACGGAGGTCAGGTTTGCGGTTGTTCATTCCAAGATTACCTCCTCCAGGGGGAGGTGGAGACTTTGTCGGCATGACTTTGCCTAAGCCATTCCCACCACCAGTAGTTCCAAGTAGACTTGGTGAAGCTCGAGAATTCACAAACCCATTTCCTGAAAGAGGAAAAACAAACGTACCGTAAGACTGAAGAGAAGTAGCAACACAAAACCTTGGTGCACGTGTACAAATTTCGAAATATTTCTTTTGTAAAGCTTCCAATAACAAACTTCTCAAGAGGCACAGTATTGAACAATCGAACAAACAAAAACCACTTTCACCAGAAGATCAATACGTAAAGGTAATATCACCTCAAGGGCACAATGTGGCAGCTTAAACGCTGAGAAGAGCGTATTGCCAAAGAACTATTTCTAATAACATCTGTTGTTGTGGTTTTTTATTTTGCCCTTTGAAGTTCCTCCATGCTGAACTTGCAAAAAAGTGGGTGCTTTTGCACAACCCCACTTCATCCCCACCCCCACAGAACATGAACTATACTGAACTGCTGCCTGTGAGAATAAAAAAAATCAGCTCTTCAAGTCTCTATTTCTAAAATGTATTCTTCAAATATCTTCAAGATCTGCAGGACTCCAATATGTATTCTCTAATAAAATTAATTTCAGTCTCAAAAATATATACTGTCTGATTATTATATTTAGCAACAATGAGGGGAACAAATCCTTTCCCTTCAAATTCATTCCAAGCTCTGGACACAAATATACATGCCATTTATGCCCATCAATTTATTTTACACAAGTAAAGTAGAATTAGACCAGCCAAAGCCTACAGGTCCTGGCTTCAGCACTGAAATCTCCAAAAGCTGAATACGCTAAGATACAGGCCTTAGCTTACACTCAAAACACATCAGAAAAAAGTAACAAGACAGTAAAACAGTTAAGTGCTTAGTATTCCATTTTCCTGAACTGACAAAAGCACCAATCATGTTAACCAAAATATGTTTCTCAAAAAATTTTAAAGCCACATTCCAATGATTTTATCATATTTATAGCAACAATTCCCACAATACACACACCTTATTCAGCTGCAAATGAAAAAAAAAGTTGTTAAGCGAGGAGAATTTCACAACAGGGAACCCTATAGTTCACACTACAGAACTTGTGTATGGGCATGTATAAATAAATACAATTCATAGTAAGATTATGTTTATACTAACATTGCAGTTCTGAAAGCAGGCTTTATAGTCACAATTCAGGGAAAAGTCTATTACACAAAGTTCACTGTCTGAGAAATTCTCTTCTAATAGCCTGTAGCGCCATAGTGGCATGAATTTTGTATTATTATTCTAATTTGAATAGGCCCCTATGCCCAATCCAATTTTATTACATTAAGTACATATTAGTCTAAAAGCCATTAAAGTAAGAAAGTTGTCAGTGTCACACTCTACGTTCTTCAGCAAAACTTCTAATGCCTTTAAAAGCTTAGCAAGAATAAGGAACAATAACATGCATCAGTAACAGCACACCACTCGATGAAGGTGACTGGTACTGCTAAGATACGTGGCTAGCACATGTTGAGAACCAAGGTGTGAATTCACCAGGATGCGAACGAGGCAGCCTCCTCCAATACTACTGATCCTCGCTACATGGTGGGGGAACTGCCAAATGCAATCCTCGCCTTTTCATGTCCACCGTAAGCGGAACCCTACATATTGTTTTAGCCATTTAGACACAGAAAAAGCAAAGATTAATGTAAGAATTACAACAAAGCTCTTACGCTGATCTGAAGATATTCTACTGAAAGGTCTTTTGGAAACAAAGCTATTGCTAAATATTTTTAAAGAAAAAAATTCTAAGTAGATAGAGCTTACTGGAATTTGCAACCACAGTATCCTTTTCACATATGGAGGAGCAGTAAATTCACAACTTTAAAGCCAGGATTTCAAATTCTGGATTTACTTTCTTTGTGGATTTCCTACTGTGCCAAAAGCCTGACCACACATGGATGATCTGATATGTCCCTTGAGTTTTTCAAGGTTAACAGAGCAAGGAGGAGTTATTATAATTTAGTACTTTCCTAAAGCATTTGTATAGGAGGTGTGGGAATATGTTTTCTGAGAATTCTACCATTTAACTTGGAAGTTATGGGGGAAAGAAGGAACACAGACAGCAGAAAGGAGAAAAAGCTTTTTATGTCAGCATTCTTCCTTCTGTATTAAAAACCACAGCAAAAACCCATTTTGTGATTAAAGCATCTACATTCCTCAGTAGAAAACAGCAGAATTTATTGGGATGCTTCTAGGTTTGTGATAAAATTTAGTTAAAGTGGCTGAAAAGTTGGGCTGGAGCTGAGAATACATACTAGAGCTAAATATACTCTTGACTGCCAGGAGAAAACTAGCCACAGCTAGGTCACACAGAAAAACCAACCAGCAAAAAAAGAGAAATTAAGTTGTGTGCTACCCCTAAGGTTCCTGAAACTCTGAGACAGTTTTCATGGAATCATGGTTTGGTTAAATAGTTATGCATCAATACCTATCCATTAAAAAGGACTGCAAACATTACTTATAGACAGCCTACAGAGCATCAGATTGCAAGAGAAATCTTGCACAACGGACAGAGTAAAAATTAAGTGGATTTGGAAACAGATGTGAAGGAGGAAAAACTATTAGGAAATAGCATCATTTTCACCAAATTATATTTTAAAATTGTTACAGCACCTAATGGAAGGTAAAAATGCCAGACCATTTAAAGAACTAACTGTTATAAAAGAAGTAAAGTCTGGGCTTTAATCTAATAATAAATAGCATTTTATTACTCACTAGGCTGTCAGTGTTACCTTTCATATGCCAAAGCTGCAGTGATCTGAGCTGAATTTAAACTTCAGAACAATAACACCTTGTATAAACAATGGAGTTCTGTACAGCATTTTAGTCTATCCTATGATACCATTTCCTGTCCTCTGTTTTCAAGTATTTCGGTAGCTCGTGTGTTAAATCTGGACAGTGTCTTTCTTCCACACCCAATACAGTCATTTCCTGCAGCCCTTATTACAAGGCTCTGCCAATCCTTCAGAAACATTTCATGCTTTTAGTGGTGCTGTCAAAAACAACAAACTCCTTGCCATTGCCTTCGCTGCACAATATCATTCAGCAGCAGGGCAGAGTTAAAGCATTTGTTCTGACAAAAGGCTGAGCATTTCTTAAAACGAGTGTTTAGAAAAAAATATATTACGAATGGGAGAAACAAAAAAATGTCCTAAGTGTCCTATGGGTATTAATCCAATAGCAGCCCTTTGTTATAAATAGCATGCATTGAACATTTAGCAAACACTGGAGTATCTATATTGATTATTTGAAGAATTATATGCTGGGGCTGCAGTAAGACTGTAGAATATTCATTTTTAATATGAAACTTCAAGCCTTTTTTCCCATTAATAATCTAATAAGAAAATCAAATTACAAGTTAAGAGTGAAAGGATAACTAAAAGCATGGTATTTCTTAGAGTAAGGTCAGGAGCCAGAAAAAGATAATGATTACAGGATGATGCAACTATACGGCAGTTTGCCAAACTGACGCTTTAATAACCCCATAAATTCTACTTACTATTTTGTATAATACAGAAATTATATCTACCCCACCCACTACAGATCTTCCCCAAAGGCACTTACTTTATGTTTAAAAACACTATCAAACTGAAAAAAGGAAACAGAATATAAAATCCTACATAAGTGTTAAATAAGACTACTGGGTTTACTTCCATCAGAAGAGTTTTATTTAACTCTTAATTCTTTAAAACAGACTATGAAAGTATGTTCGAAACAATTCTTTGGAAAACAGACACCAATGCAAAGATGATAAGCTCTCAATTATATGAATCATAATTTAATTAGATTTTACAATAACAAACATTGCCAATGTATATTAGCCTACTTCTTGTTTAGGCAGAAAACATTTACTTTTGAAGTAACTTCTTTTCTGAAGCTAAATACTAAAATCCACCCATTTCAACAACTGTATATTCTGCCTTCAGAAACATAATACAGCTTAATCTCATTTATTGTCCTGCAGCCCAAGACGTAGCATTCAATTACATGAGCCAGACTCATATTTCACTATATAAATCACATCAGCTGAAACAACGAACACACGTGGCTGGAAAGTACTCCATGTACTTATTACTACTCAAGGAATAAATTATAGTCATTGATGCCTTTAATCTTTTTTTGTGGTTCACCTTTGGAGAAACTGAACAGTTATACACAGTTTTGGAAAATAATTGTGGGCAAGCAGCTAAGCAATATAATATTAAGCAAAAATAAGAAGGGTAGTAAATAAATATTTATGCCTCAAATGACATCATACAACCCAACAAATGTCACATAATTAGAACTAAACTGAAAATTCTGTTTGCAATAAGCCATCGGTTCACTATGCATCTTAAAGACCAGGAAAAAATATCTACTGAAGAAAATATTTGCTTGTAGGACCTTGAGGTAGGGCGTGGGTGCGGGGAACTGTATTGCAAGTAAATACAACAACAGCATTTCTCTGTGCATTAGTTGCTCAATTTATTTACTTTTTTTTTTTGGTGTGACAGCTTTAAGTGGAATTTAAAAAAAAAAAAAAAAAACACAAAACGAAACAGCATATGCCGTTCATACCATTTTCAGCTTTGCACAGAAATCACTGCTGATTCTATCAGCATTTCAAAAAGCCAAAGTTCTCTACTAGCTTTGGAAATAATTTACTACAACATCTCAAGGAAGCTGAAATAAATGTATTTCCACTCACCTTTACAAACCAATACTTCAGATAATACTACAATTAGAATTAAAACATACCTTTGACAGTAATGTAAGATTTTGAGACATCTAACATGTAAGATTTTTACTTCTAAGGTAGTACTTTAGATAATAAAACGCAGCAAAAAAAAATACACATGACTAAGTGTCAAGGGAATGCTTACTCATGTTACAAAACTAAAAAAACCCTCATTTCCCAGGTTGCTGGAAATTTTTTTTTTTGCCTAAAGCTACTTAAAAGGAGAGACAATTTTCAAGGATATTTAGAGTTTAAATGGGCCTTATTCAAGACCAGGGTTATTATTCAGAATGCAGCAGCAAACCTAAGCCAAAGGCATGCTGCTTTTGTATCTA